GAGAACAACATTATGCTCCTTGAATTCCTTTCTCGTTCCATCGCATCGGCGTTCGCGAATTCTTCATCCGTTCCATCGTCTTGGCGTCTAACTCCATAAATTGTTCTTCTTCTCTATGCTCTCTTTCTCGCACACAGTTTCTCTCTCTTTCATTCTTCCATCTCTCAAATTTTCATGCAACTTCATGTTTTTTCTTGCTTGATTTATGTAATAAATCAAACTAATAGTATTATTATCCCCATTTCAATTGATTTGTAATCTTGCTTTTTTTTTTTAATTAAAATTAGGGTTTCTCATTTATTTCAAATCTGAAAATTTAAGACAAATTGAAAAATTCAACTTGTTATGTTTTTCAATTGATTATGTCTTCGTCCTCAATTTGCTTCAGATTTAGATTTTGTATTTGTTCGTGTGTGTTGAAAGAAGGGGGACAGGTCCTGGGCATTTGTTTCCTGCGGTGAAGATAATTTGCCTTGTGAGGTTGTTGCCGGACCTCGTTGACATATCAATTTTGATGTCTGGACTCTCAAGTTCATTATTCTTCTATTATACATTTGTGTGGTTTTCAATTGGTATAAATTTGAAAAAAAATTTGTTTTTTTTTTTTTCTTATCCGGTATAGTACCAAACATAATATATATAATACGATCATAATTAATTTGTACTATCCGATGATTATTTATCATATTCGACTGAAATAGTCATTACAGTTCGAGCTGCCAAATGAGACCTAAGTAGAGAAGAGAATGGTGAATATCAAGGCAATTTGTGTGTCTAATCAAAGTAATTTGAAATGTTTGGGGTTCACTATTAATAAGAAGAGTCAAGATATTAAACTGAATGAAAAAATTGTGCCTTGAAAAGCTTCAATAAGAAGAATTCCAACAAGTTCCAGTATCTCCGTCACATTTGGCAGTTCGGACTATACTGATTATTTCTGTCGGATAGGATAAATAGTCACCGGATAGTATTGACTAAATTAGTCGGGTATTTGGTGCAGTATCAGACTAGTGACCGTATTATTTATATTGTGTTTGGTATTATATTAGATAGGAGGAATCAAACTTAAAAAACAAATTTTAAAAAAAATGAAATCATTTTTTTGTTCCCAGATCTCTCCGCACCCCCCCCCAAACACCCTCCCTCTCTCTCCCTTCTTCTTCCCCAACTGCAGAAGAATCCCAAATAATTGTTCCCTAGCTCTCTCTGTCACACCCCCCAAACTCCCTCCCTTTCTCTCCCATATTCTTCTTCCCCGACTAAATAATCCGGGCGTTTTGGTTGGTTTTATTAAGCGGGTGTATACCGTGTTATCCTATCTGACCAGTTAAATTAATCCGGCACTTATTTAGTACGAGTGAACGCCAAACGCCCGAATCCGTATAACTAATCATATCCGATCCTTTATCTGATCTGTCAAACAGGCCCAAATAAAACTGAAATGAAATATAAACAGCAGCGCATATTTCCTAGCGTGTAAACGACGATAATACCTGTCGTTTCGACCAGCATATGGTCCCTACAAGTTCCAGTATCTGTGTATCTTGAATTTTCTCGCCAATTTTCCCAAACTTCCCCGGGAAACTGAACTGAAAATCCATGGCCGACTGGTCTAAACTTCCCAAAGACCTCCTAGAAGAAATCGCCAGACGCCTAGAGAGCGCCTTCTACTTGCTCCGTTTCCGATCCGTCTGCTCCTCATGGCGGTCCTCCGTCACCTCCCGACCTCGCCGTCTACCTGGCCGATTTCCCTTCCTCACAAACCACGGTATCTGCGCCACCTCTCTAGGGTTCCACCTCTCCCAGCGCAGCATTTTCCTGATGGGTTTGCCCAATTCCCGCAACCAAAGAGACCCAGATCGCTGGCTGGTCAAGATCGAAGAGGACGTACCGGGTCGGATGCACTTGCTGAATCCTCTCTCGCGGTTTCAGCTGAAGCCGCTGCCCGAAGCATTTCCGAAGGTATTGGATTTATCGAAATTTAGTGTTTTTGAGTTGGGTGGAGAATTTGTTTTGCATTATGTCCATTTTAGGCCTTTTGGGAATGGCAATTCTTTGGTCGATGATGGCAATTTGTATATGGAAAAGGTGGTTTTTATGTGTTCGGGTTCCGAAAGCAACGATTTTGTGCTTCTTACGATTCATGTGTCTGGGAAATTAGCAATGTTTAAGTCTGAGGATAAGAGGTGGACTATAATTCATGATATGCCGTCGCCTTACGATGATGTTATAATGTTTAAAGGACAATTTTATGCTGTTGATGGCACTGGCCGGACTGTGACGGTGGGGTTGAATTCGAATTTGAGCTTGGTTGCGAATCCGGTGTTTGGTGGTGATAAGAAGTTTTTGGTTGAATCGAGTGGTGAATTGCTGGTGGTTGATATGTACTTGAGCATCACTGCGCCGAAGGATTTGGATGATTTGGATGTCGATGATGAAGTTTTACAAATGCAATTCAGTGGTTGTTTGACTGAGAGAACTGTTAGGTTCGAGGTTTTTAAGTTGGATAGAGAGGGGAAGAAGTTGGTTGAAATGAAAAGCTTGGGGGATAGGGTGTTGTTTTTGGGGGATGACTGCACATTTTCTGCCTCGGCTTCCCAGTTATCGGGTTGTAAAGGGAATTGTATACTTTTCACGGATAATTTCTTCTATATGGGCAGTGAAGAAGAGTGTGTGTTCAAGGCCCGCGATATAGGTGTGTTTGACTTGGATGATGGTGGTATTGCACCGTTATCTGATTACCCAGAGTATTCAAAGTTGTTTTGGCCACCCCCTGACTGGGTTGCATCGACAACGTCAGAAGTAAGTGTAGTTTTGTTTGCATTTAGAATTTTGTGTCGTGTTTTATGTCATTCTATGTGGTGTTTTCGCTGCTTAATGACATCAATCTTGCCAAGTTGTGTTTGACATTTGACCATTGTTATAAATTCATTTCTTACCCTGCTAGGTGTAGTTCTAATTGAAAAACTAGAATTAATGCGACCTTGCAGTCATTTTCCGGTGCCAAGATGCTGGTAATTATTTGTTGTATGGTGCTGTAGGCAGTATATTATTCTGATAAATCCCCAATTTTCTAGACATCAGTTATGCCTTTTAGGTTAGTGACAGATTTTTATTGCATATCCAATTATATGTGTTCAGATTTTTAAAATCTCTGGGCCCTGGCTCAAGGGCTTTGACAACATAATGTAGTATTATAGTTGTTTTAAGTCCGTGATATGAAACAACTAGTATATTAGCAGCTAACCGATACTGAATACTTACAGAGAAACCATGATGGCCAGCTGCTATTGCTACTAGGTGTACTATGGTTCAACTCTGTTGAAATCTCTAAGTTGGGTGAGGAGACACACGTACATGTGTTGATTAGCCAAAATATGTTAGAAGCGTGTCCTGATAAACCAATCTTGCCTCTTGTCAGCCAGGAAGCTGCTTAAGGGTGGTTGTTTCTCAAGTTTTTATTTAGTCCATTGCTTCAAGGTTCCAATTGTTGCCGTTATATGGGCACCAGGCAACCAGTCTTTTGAGTAACTTTTTATTAGGTTTGAGAACTTTTACAGCTTAGAATCGAACATATTGAGCAGTCAAATAGTGCTGTTAGATGGGCTTGTGCCATATGTGCAATGATAGTTTGATTAAGCTATTGATTGGGTAGTCTTAATTTTTTATTAGTTGCAGGATTAGTTACAGTTGAGCTCAATCTCTCGGTATAGATAGCTATCTTTATAAAAATAATAGGTTAATCTCAGTAGAAAGAAAAAGGTCTTCTCTGAGCTCTCTCTCTCTCTCTCTCTCTCTCTCTCTCTCTCTACGTACAAACCCTAGATTCTATAATTTCTCTGAGCTTGATTGTGTGAACATTCTTGATGTGCGTCATGATTCCATGAACTCATGTAGAGCAATGAAGAAAATGGTGTATCTAAGGTTACGAAGAACATGGTGTGCTGAGGGTCACGTCATAGATTCTTTACTAAGCTAATTGCACGTTTCCACATGGCTTATTTGATAGTTTGATGACCGTTCCTTCTGATGTAGCAACCAAATGATTAGCAGCCCATGAGGGAATTTGTTTGATTGGATTGGTTGTAGATTACAATAAGTGCTACTTTAGCTTGCATATTCCTGCCTTATGCGTTCGTATTTTCATCATCAGTAGTCCGATCCATTTTCAATTATCATATCAAGGCATGCAAATGCTGATTTAGTTGATGCAACAGGTGCAAACTCAGCTTGAAGAATTGGCTATATGAGGTGGAGATGGAATCGATGCACGACACTAATAAGTCGTGAATGCATCTGAAATCGAAGGAGTTTCAAGCTTAGCTGTTTTATTTAGTCTAGTGCAAGGCGAAAGCAGCTGCACCAGGCGGCTTTAAAGGACAGACTTTGCCTGCTCTTCAGGAATTTCTCCATGATTTCTTCGGCATCAACGAGTTCAGGTGACCTAGCCAGCCATTGCAAGCAAAATAAGTCAATCCAAGTTGCCGTAGACACGAGGGGCTTTATGAGTGAAGGATTTGTACTTTCTGCAAGCACCTAAACCTACAAGGGGGGTTGTTAAGAGACCCAATTCCTTGTTTAACCGAAAAGTAAATAACGAACAAATAAACTAAGTCTTTTATTTTCTTAAATTATGAATCTTTTCTATGTATTTTACTAAACTTGTAAATTAATGAATGAATTATCAGTGTTCTTGGAGACATCTATCTTGTTTTCGTGGTTGACATTTAGATAACAATAAAGTTTTATCCCACTAGTGTTGGCTGTATGAATCTTAAAATTCCATCATGTTCGATTTTACGTTAAGTCTTCAGTTAGTTAACTCCAGCTACTCCATATCTTTTCTTAAGTCTCTTTTCAAGTCTTCCTAAATTTTCCTTTACTCTTTTTTCAAGTCTTCTTACGTCATTTCTTGAAGTAAAAGAGTGCATCGGATACGTTGTGCTTCACACTATCTCGGTGTTAAATATGGTAGCAGAGATATAATCAAAACTTGTGAATCCAAGAATTTTAACTTTCGATACAACAGATATTAGGGGACTTCACATAAATCGATAGAAGCTTTTAACAACTTGAGCTACAAGTACCATACGGCATGCGAGAATTTGAGAACCAGCATGAAACTAAATTGTCCTTTCTTCATCTACTACCAGGTCAAAACTATAGAGACCAACCTATTTCTACTGCTAATAAAGAATATACAATATTAGATCTCAACAGCACCACGGGGGTTAGGCTTTAGACCCATCTCTGCACCTTCCTTTTGTCACATTAACCTACTTAATCTTAAACCGACCTAACGTTATCTTAGTCAATCCCGTTCAGGAGCATCGCCGGTAGTTCTTCTTGAGCTTAGGCTTCCGGCATACGACCACACCCTCTCAAAATCATCTGCGAGTAGTTTCTCTGACTTCTCGTCTACTATAACGCTGCGCTTTACACACAGAGGTGTCCTTCCTGGACTTCCAATAACTGGGGTGGAGGAGCAGAAAGTCGGTGTTGCAAGTGGAGACGCGTAAGGAGTGTGTTGAATGGAGAAGGGGCTTGGCGACATCCGCTTCTGGATAGGAAGGCCACTCAAACCTCCCCTGCTGAAGATAGACACTGATTCCGCTGCAGCACATCGCTTGGTAGCATCATCAACGAAGAGGACATCATCTATTCTTGCCATGATGTTAAAGGCCAGACTCTCCATAACTCTTGAGTAACTTTCCAGAATTGACTGCCCCACGTCCTGTAAAATCAACAACGAAAAATCCTTCAGAAACTTCATCCTCCGAGGATTTGTTCTTTTAAATATAGAAATCCAGAAGTTATTGCAGTGTGCAGGAAGTAACTAATAATGCGCAATAAGGAATTCGGACAGTCAAAATTTCCCAAACCAAGGAATTTAACATATTTGTCAAACCACTGTTTAAAAATTGATGGATGAAATACTTCACAACATCCCAAGTTAAGGTGACATGTATTAAGTAATGTAACGTAGATGGATTATGCATTTTAATGTAGATGGATAGGGAAAACATGCGATCAAATGTACCTTGTTATACTGTATTTTGTTCATATCTAGTGAAGTTTGTGGGAGGCCAGGGAAACGATGCCTTAGGCTGTGTAAGAGGGTCTCTGCTCGTTGGGCCAGAAAATTGTTCTTTTCACTATCAGCAACAAGCCCCTTAACCTTGCCACCCCAAGATGCCCGTTTAGCCTTATGATTGTTGTGTTTCTTCTGGTCCTTCTGCTTCCAAACATGCACAGCTGCCTCAATTCTATTGGCTATCTCTAGAGTTTGATGTTCTGACGACAAGTCCAGGCAATCAAGAAGATGTTCGGGTGAGAACTGGTCTGCAGTTATGTAACGATAAATGATATCGCCCAAACAATCCTTGCCATTCTATCAAGAATTGAAAAACAGATGGTGTCAAAAGAAATTTAAGATCAACTAAGTGAAAGTTGTATGCAGAATATGCAGCATGAACTGAAAACTACAAGACAAGATACGTATAAATATACTGCGAAAGCTAATAAAACATTACTAGTCACTAATATAGTTAGCATATGAGCAAAATAATGAAAAGAGATGTAGAAACCCATACCTTGGGCAACGTTTCCATGTATGCTCTCGGGATTTCCATCTCAACAAGTACACTACTATTAATTGCCATGGCCGCCTTCAATATCTGGTTGCAGCAGTCCCTACACTGCTGCAACTTCTTCCTTGTTTCACAGGACAACCCATTTGGCGGAACTTTAGGATAGGGCAACCACCACTTCTCTTCCTGCCTAATCGAAGGCCTTCCACCCATAAACCCCTCACCCTCTTTCGAATCACCCAAAATTATCCCCCGGTCAATATAGCAAAACTCTGTCTCACAAAACCCATCCAGCATACTAAGCAGCATTGCATCAAGCTTCTTTATGGCGGGTAGATTCACATACAAGTCAGAGCGTGGCCGCATCTCCATGACTTCATATGTACCCCCACCTGGAAACTGTTGTATTGAAGGCACAAGCTCAACAATTGAATCACTCACACACAAGAGCCACTCCTTTTCCCGGTGCCACATTGCCTTTCTCTGCGCTTTCAGCGGCTCTAACCTCCATAATTCGCCAAACACGGTTGCTGCAATTCCAACATAGAAAATTGAGTTCCGAAAACAGAACCTCCACATAAAATCGAAAAAATCTCGGCCAACATTACATAAGAATATGCATATTCCAAGAGGGATGTGACTTACCAGAGAGATTGGTGATGGCATTTGAGATAGCAAGGGCAGTGCAGACTCCTTTCCCTCCTCCGGACATGTCTTCTCCGAGCAAAAGCTTCGAGAACCTCTCCTTCATCATTTCAACCTCTGCAATCATAGATAATTACAAAATAATTAAAATCTACAAAAACAAAGCAAATTATCTTAATTAGAACAGAATCAGATCTGAGCAAAATTTTCTCAGCTGCAGAGAAATTAGTACGTATTTTCACTCAGTTTTCAGGTTGTATGTATTAAAGGACAATAATTTTCAGTACATTTTTCAATAATTTCCCCTAAATTTTCTCGGAATCCAAACAGTGAGCTAGAATCTCCTTAGGGATGTATTCAATTGGAATTTTGAGGGATTTTAATTCTTTTAATGAATCTATGCGTCCTCAATCAAGATTTGAAGTGATTCTTTGAAATTCACAAGACGTTTCAATTAGAATTTTAAGATACTTTATTAAAATCCGAAATCTGGTGTATTCAATTAGGATTTTAAAGAAGTTTATAATATTTAAGGTATATTCAATTAAAAATTGATTTTAAAAATTTTGAGAAAGTTGAGGAATTAGAGGTAATTGAAGAAATTTTGTAGTGTATTTTAAACATTCACAAATCTCTCATTTTTTCATAAAATTTTAAGATAATTGAATTAAAATTTTATATCAAATCTCTACAAATCAATTAAATAAAAATTCTTAGATTTATAAATCTATTAAACTCTCTCAGATTCTCAATTGAATACCCTAAATCTAGAATAAAGTTTAAACAAATAAATAAAACAAAACAAAATGAAATACCAGATAAATCAGCATCTCGCTTCTCCGGCTTCTCATCCCAAGCCACCACATCCTTCCCTCCGATCACCGGAAGCATCACCGGCGGCTGAAAACAGAAATTTCCGGCAACCGGCTGCGGAGAGGACGTCATGGAGCTCGAAGCCCCTTCCGCGTCGAACCTCCTGCACGAGAAGCTGCTGCAACTCTCAGACTCGCTCACGTCCGCGCTCAGGCTGTAGCTCCCGCACCGCTCGCTCTCCTGGTCCAAGCCGTCCTCCGACGACACACTCCCCATTGCGTCCAGGAGATCCAAAACGAGCGTCGTCCGTACAAGCTCAGATCTCAGCCTCACATTCGCTGCCGTGAAGCCTTCCCCAGAGGATAAGAAGCGCAGAAGCAGCAGCAGTCGCGTGGTCGGAAGATTGCTGCAGAGGCAGTAAGTGATGGATAAAAAAGTGCTTTCAGGTTTACTCACACCACACTCTTCCACTCTCTCTCTCTCTTCAACTTTCTCTCTCTAGAATTGCTAGTGTGACTGTCCACGGTGGGGTTGATGATGGAGGAGATGATGATGAGAAAGGCCCCAAAAAGCAAAAGTAACGCCGTTTGGTCTGCAGAGCCAGAGCACCCGACACGGTCCTTTTTCCACGGGACCCACCTTATGCGTTATGAGGATTACTGTGCTTGAGTGACGTGGCGATTTCTGCTGACGTGCAGGGGCATGGGGTGGGACCCGGCGGGACTTCAGAAATTTCGCGTGGGAAAGATACCAAACGGCGGTTAGAGCTGTTTTGTTTTCTTGTCACGGGAGAGAAAGTAACGGTGTGGACGTCCCCGGTTTGCTTTCAGTGCGCTCGCATCCAAAATATGACTATTATTCTCGATATACGACATCGTTTTCTGTGCACGACTCTTTAATTGCAGTCATTAGTAATTCGTTCTGGGTAATTACGTTATTAAACAATTATTTTCGCGCAGTTTATTAATCTTAATCCTACTTTACTGATATTTAAGAGGACCTAAATTAACGACTCCCGTATTTTAATTAAGTGGTACGACCTGGACCGTTGATCTGTTTTTGTAAGAGGAGTGGGGCCCCGCATGACCAACGCCATGGCGGAGGGAATCTCCTTGAGCAGCGAACATGTCTGAGCCGTCTGGCATTGTGTGAACGACAAGGTATCCGGTCGGGGTCGTATACGTAACTGTATACTACGTTGTACAAAGTCTACAACGATACACTCACCCGAGAGACAGAGCATCTGCGGACACTTGGCGATAACTATTTTCCACGAAGTATATATTTGTGTGACTGCGTCGAAAGTGTCGAATCGGGGCGAGTCGCCACTGAACAGTCCATTTGCGTATTGTTTTGACCCGTGAGAATTTTAGGTGAGGTCCCCCGTAGAGTGTGTACTGCACGTGACCGACATGTAGCCCGCAAACACTAAGTCGGCGGGTCGTGTACGTTAATTTGGATTGACCCACTTTGCGTGATGGACTGCGTATAATCTCGTGATTGCGAGCTCAATGCATGTTGTAATTTTCGGATTTGGATTCTATTTATGTTCAAATTATGGGAATTCTAAGGATTATCACATTTTAACTGTTTATCATGAGGTCATAAATTATTTTAAAATTTTTATTTAAAATTAAACATAAACAATACCTATTAAAAATTAACCGCATAATACACGATAAACAGTTAGAATGTGAGAATCTAGATTCTCACAAAGAGGATCCTTATCCGTAATTTCCGATAGTATGGTTTTGTGTTCGTCGTGAATGACTTTTTGAACTTTTTTAGTGGATAATTAATTTGGTTTTTTATTTGTATTTTTTAGGAAGTTTTAAAGAAAAGACGGCGGTATTGTTCATCTTAACGAAAAACCACATTTTTATACTAAAAAATCAATCATGGTACTATTTACTTTATCATTTATTTTGTCCTTATCGTTAAAACTCAAACTTTTTAAATTATTTTCATTAGTTTTCCTTATTTTTTTAAGATGGTATTGGTAGGAATATTAATTGGTTTGAAATATTTTAGAGATTTGGAGTTAATGATGGGAAGATTAAAATATTAACGATCCCAATGACATATGCAAATTAATAATCTTGGGTTGTTGATTCACATGTAAGATGAACCTAACCCTTTGAATTCTCCCAACATTTAAAATGCGCGTAGATTAGTGCTAAAAACTTCCCTGATTGCTTGTTTAGGTTTTTTAAAATTAAATGATAGTGGTTTTATTAGAATGTTATTAAATTTGAGGGCCTTTCAAACCAAAGCGATTTAAAATTAAATAATAATGCTGCAAACTTGACCAACTTCCTAGCAACCATATTATTGAATATGTAGGGCGTGATAAGTACCACACACCTTGCCATAGTAGAGACTTTGCACACAAAATCACTTACAAAGTTTGGATAGACTGCACCAAACAAAGACACATGCCCACAAGAGCAAATCTAACACGGACAACACTAGTACCTAGAAAGCCCACATAAAAAATATGGTAAATTACATAAAACTACTTCAACTATTGGGTTGGTCACAGTTTCATACTCCATCTTTAAAAAATGTCAATGTCATACCTCATCTTACGAATTTGTTACAATTTCATACCTTCTGTCAGTTTGTCTGTCAATGCTTCCTCACCTCTCTGCAACTTCCGCCCCCTCTTACACGCCCATCACCCTCACCACTACCGATGGCGGAGATCAGCGGCTCGAAGTACCGTGAGTGGCAGTACACCTTCGCAAAAGCCCCGCAGCCCAGAAGCCTCCCAACCTCGAACTTCCCAAATAGGTTGACCTCGCGGGCACTGGAGTCGTCGCTATTATCGACGACGACCTCAATCTCCGACATGGCTCCTTAATTGTATGAGGGGGAGGGAGTTTTATTAAAAGTCACGAATCGTACGGACGACGACGACGGCGAAGGAGAAAGGTGTACATGGAGAGGGTGATGGGTGTGTAGGATGGGGAGGAGCGCTATGGGAGGGAGGTGGAGATGGAGGAAGAGAGGGTGATGGGTGTGTAGGAGGGGGTGGGAGTTGCAGAAAGGTGAGGGGGAAGCAAAAGGGATCTGGGTGTAGGTTGGGTTTTTTTAATATTTTTTTATATTTAATTAATTTTTTCTAGTTGGAATTGAAAGTGGGTCTTGTCTCAAGCCACGTCATTATTTAATGAAAGAATTGACAGACAAACTGACGGAAAATATGAAATTGTAACAAATTTGTAAGATGATGCATGACATTGGCATTTTTTAAAGATGAGGTATAAAACTGTGACTGAGCCAATAGTTGAGATAGTTTTATGTAATTTATCCTAAAAAATAATTAAGTCCAATCTTTTGCCAAGCCCATTCAACCGAAAACAAACTCAAAATCCTAAATCATGAGTTAAATCACCATTTGAACAATATTATTGCTAGCCCATTGTGAGACTAAGTCCACCCCTCCCCTTTAGTGTAGATAATATCGTTTGTTAAAAAAAAATCACCATCTTCATAACAAGCGTCGTCATCAAACTACCCAGCATACAGTCAAGATACAATTGTAGAACATGGGGTTGGATCTTTAGGGGGGGTTGGTCTCCAATTATCCAATGGATAGTGCTATTTTTTTGTACACATATTTTTATCTCTCACAAACCTTTGTTAATTTTTCGTCATTTATATTCTTCAATTCATTCGATTCAATGCCTGGAAAATGAAAAGGATGTGTGGATAACATTGCCCTTATCCAATATCATAAGCAAGGTGACATTAAATTTAGAAAATAGGATAAAATTTAAGGAAAACTAATGAAAATTGTTTAAAATTTAGGGGTGGTAATTTTGGGAGAATAAACTGGATTGAAAATGGGGTAAAAAAAGTAAGTGATATGGAACTTAGATCTAAGCATGACTTAAACAAATACTAAGGTCCATTTTGGTATTGGATTTTTTTATCAAAAATTACTTCACTTTAAAGTTAAGCAATAAAAAAGTGTTCGGTAAAAATAAAATATACTGCTTATTTTAAAAGTAATGGCCTTCAAACAGCAGCTTCTAAAAGCAGCATATAGGTTGCTTTTAAAATTTGCTTTAATAAAAAGCAGAGTTGAGCCTTTAGAATATTTTTAATTCCTGTAACAAGCTTATTAATTTTAAACAACGAAATTATTTAGGGGCATTTAGATCCGAGTCCAAAAAATTGAGCTACTTTCCAATTGAGTCCAATTCCATGTGCCTTATCAGTTTAGGTTCAACTAATCTTTTTTATGTCTATTTTGCCCTTTTATAATCTAAATGAAAATATATTTAAATTTCTTGATTTATCCAAATTTTGAATATTAAAGCCTTTAATCTATTCAATATCCAAGGAAAAAAATTAAAATTAAAATTCATGGCATGTTTATCACCAACAAAATCTACTGTGATATACATTCTTGATAAAAGTAGATTATAAAAAGAAAAAACCTATCATATAGGTACATAAATACAAAATATGTCATGAAGATATATTTAAATAATATCTAATTAAACTATGGTGTAGGTAGATAATGCAACTAATCTATGATGCAAGTAGGCAATGCAATCAATCTGCGATGCATGTAGTTAATTTACAAACAAAAAAACATATGATACATATGCAATTAATCTCTAATATGGGTAGAGTATTATAAAAAAAAAAATCCTATGGTACAGGTAGATAAATACAATTAATCTTAAATTATCAACAAAATAATATATATATATAGGTAGATAAATACAATTATTCATGATACATGTACATTATAATATATAAAAAAAAAAAAGGACAAGTGATATAGGTAGATAAAACCAAAAAAAATCGGGAAGAAAAATGATATTGAGGGAGGAAACACTAGAGAAAATGCTAATTCGATAGAACTTCAAAATTAAAAAAAAAAAAAAAAATATATATATATATATATATATATATATATAAAGGAAAAAGAAGCAAAAAAAGAAAAAAAAAAGAAAAAAAAAAGACGAAGAATCCAAAACACTAATGCAATTTTTTTTTTTAACCAATCAAATGTATATTGATCATTCTTATGGAAGAGGAGGAGAAGAGGAATATTATGGAAGAAGATTACTCGGCAAAATAACACAGGAAGAGAAAGATATTGTGAGGGAGAAACAAGAAAAGAGAAATTAATGGTTGGGGAAATGAGAAGAAAAAAAGAGATTTCAATCCCTAACCCTACAATTAAGGATAAGATTAACATTCATAACAAATTAAAAAAACAGTAATTACTTAGTTAGTCAATTTGAGGTTAAATTTGGCAAGAAAATACAAATAAGCTTAAGTGGATAATAAATCATTGGACCTAACCTAAAATTTAAAACAAAATTGGACTATAACTAATAATGACTCATAAAATTGGACTCATATTAAGTTTCCCCAATTATTATTTATCCTTCTAGACATTGTTTTTCATACTTATAACACTTTTAAAAATACAGTTTATCAAATGCTCAATTGCTTTATTTTGCAGTTGATTATTCTTGAAGCATCAAATGCTCAATTACTTTATTTTGCAGTTAATTATTCTTAAAGCACAGTATAAGCAATTTATTAAAAAAGAACAACAATTCCAAATTAGCCCTAAGTCGCCAAAAGATAGAATAATATTCACCAATCACCATAATAGACTAGAAAAGAAGAAAAAAAAAAAATGGAGGAGGAGAGGGGAGGAGGGAAAACAGAGGCTGTTGTCCTACTTTCTTCCCTTATGACAACTTTCTCTTTTGATCCTCTAGTCATTGCTTGGCATTGGTTTTTCGATTCTTATCCGTTGACTTATGTGTTAATTGAAGGCAAAATCCGAACATGTTAGAATCCTTATTAAAAGGGATTATGCGACCTGCACATGATATTAGTGATGAAAAAAAAAGTTAAATACCCAAACTCAACCCGAAAAAAATCTAAAATATCAAATCTCAAAAAATGCAGTAACCGACACAAGGGCATTTCAATCTCTCCATATCATTATTTATATAAAGAAAAAGGTTCCAACAAGATCACTATGATGGCAATTCAATATTATGCCAAAGATGTTACGGCTTAATTAGGCACTTGGAGAGTTGGGGAAAATTGTAGCATGGTTATGAAATAATCGATTCGTATGTGTAGAGACATGAAGAGATCGAAATGCTCTTAAGTGATTTTGACGGAATGTAACAGCAGGAACAACATTGATGTTTAAAGTACAACACGTGAGATGACATTTATCGATTTTCAACGTAAAGGAACCAACATAGAAAAAGCTAGCAACTTTGTTACTCATCAACTCATTTTACGAACGTAAACGTTAAGAACCATTTGTCAACGGGCCGATGTAATTTGGGCAGGCCTTTTGTTTCTTGACCAGCAAGCGTCTGGATTTATTGTTTTGGGCCTTTTGATTTAACCCAGTAAAGGCCCACTTAGTTTGCTAGCCGCTACCCAAAAACCGTAACCGCTTTTTTTTTTGTTCTGTTTCTGTCTGTGAACGGAACACGTGCCCAGAGTCCCAGTAACTCTTCCCATCACATCGCTTTTGAGCGGAGTCGGAGAATATCACCACCGTCGTCGCAGACTCGAAGACGATCAAAACCCTAAAGCGTGTGCCCGAACAAGATGCCGAAAAAGATGGGTTTGAATAGCAAGGCGGAGGCCGCCAAGGCTCGGAAGAGCTCCACCGAAGCAGAGCGCAAGGAGCGCGAGGTTCGCGAGAAGGAGGAGCAGTACTGGCGCGAGGCCGAGGGCAGCAAGTCCCGCGCGGCAAAGAAGCGCGAGGAAGAAGCCGAGAAACGAGCGGAGGCCGCCGCGCGGAAAGCCGAGGCGCGCCGATTGGCGGAGCTGGAGGAGAAGGAACTCGAGAAGGCGGGGAAGAAGCCCGATAAGAAGGTCGGGCGAGTCACGATCCCGGTTCCAAAGGTGACCGAGGCCGAGCTGGCACGGCGGAAAGAGGAGGAGCAGGCGGCGTTGGAGAAGAAATCGGATGAGGTGAAGAAGAAGCAGAGCCGTACGGCAGAGGAGGAGGAGTATGAGAGGATTGTGGTTGTGGAGAATAGGAATCGGGATGATTCGATTATTGAGGCTAGGACGGTGGAGGAGGCGGTTGCGAAGATGTCGGTGGCGGAGAGCTTGCCGGTGGATCGCCACCCGGAAAGGAGGCTCAAGGCTTCGTTTAAGGTACCTTTTCTGTGTTATTGGGAGAATTTAGGGTTTGTTTGGTTAGGGGGATTGGATTGCATTGGTTTCGATTAGCTTTGAAATCTAAAATCTGATGCATTTACATAGAATTGTTGTCATTTAGGAATTAGGACTAGTACTTGTACTAGCTTGAAGCTCTAGCTATTATTAGAGTAACAAATCGACTCGGCATTGAAAATATACAATACGAATGGACGCAAATGAGCGCCTTCTAGAAGACAGCTTAGTGTGTTATATGCCGCAATGATTTAACTTCGCTCAAATGGTCGTGATCAGCTACTCGAAAGTTTGGGTGTGCATTAGTGTGCTTGATTGCTTGTGTTGGCACTGAAATCTTTGCAATGTGTTAGTGGAGGACCTCTTTTAGACAGACGGGTTGCCTCTTGAGTTCTGATCGTTTTTCATTTTCTCATGGATTACAAACGTAGACTAAAGCTATGAACTTGAACTTTTACATCATTTCTTTACACTCGTGATCTCAGTAATTTCTAGCTAGCATCCTATAAGACGAATTCATGTTGCACAATTTATGATGTAGCAGTGCTCTGTTGGTTTTTTGTAGCGGTCTTATGAGAGAAATTCATGTGTTCTTTTTGTAGACTGTTGTAGCTGTTGCGTCTCTCAAAACAATAGCTGAAGTTTTGTAGGTTTTATTTTATTTGTTCATGCACGGATGTATCTCATATTTGATGCCTCTTGTGGAATGGCTGCTTAAATTTTTATGATTCTTGTAATTATCGTTGCTGCCCCACTTCGATAGTACAGTATTGTTGACTGCTGGTGAAATATAAAGTTAATTGTTGTCGTTTCCTGAATAATAGTAATTGTAGGGGCTATTGGTAGAAGCTAAGTCATATTCTTAGGAGCGCTAATTTCTTTGGTTAACAGCCACGGAACTTTTCCATCCATGTCTTTTTAAACTTTCATTGATAATTCAACCGTTGTTAATAATCAATTTTAACTTTTGGTGATTGCTTCTTTGATCTAATTAAATATTGACATTAGTCATTTCTTCTGTGTTTATAATGTGACGAGTTCGGGTAATAATTGTAGGCTTTTGAAGAAGCTGAGCTCCCCAGGCTGAAGGAAGAGAAACCAGGTCTTACTCACAATCAATACAAGGATATGATATGGAAGCTATGGAAGAAATCTCCGGATAATCCTCTAAATCAGGTTTAGTTTTGTCTCGGATATCACACAGTCAGAGTCATTGTTTGTGTGATAATTACTTGCATTAGTCAACGTAAGTAAGTTACACACTTTATACAAAGAACCTTCAATCCAATCATAACATGGCAATGCCAACCTAATAATAATGTCTAACCCCCCCCTGCCCCGTCACTAGATGCTAGGACTTACTTATGCCGTTTTCTCTGGTAAAGTAAAATTTATTGTTCCTTTACAGTGATTTGCGACTTAAGTCTTTGAATTGCTATCCTCATTCATATATTGGTTGCCCCAGTGTATAGTGTTTTGTTAAATACGTTGACGCATGGTGATGGCATTTGATATGAGTATTTAATGGGGATTTGTGTTTAGCATATATCTGTGCTGTCAATCATCCAAGCTGGTAGATTTGTGCGACATGTTCGGATGTGTAGAGCGTTACTAATTAGTTAGTTAATCATTGGTTAGGAAATCTTTTATTTTTTGGTTAAGTGTTCGGACTTACGATATCTTTTTGTAACAATGGAGCCAGCCTAATTTCGTTGTTCAAATTTGCAGCTTGCTGAATGATCGCCTCGCATCCTCGCCATGCACGGGGCATCTGAGCTTTTTCTCCTGGGCTGGTTTTCTTGATTTCATCATCCTGTCCGCCAACGTACATGTGTAATTTGAAACGCATATATGGTTTCTGCTCTACTGTATGTGCTACATCCGCTTCTTGAAACATAATCTGAATACTATGCAATCTTCGCTCGATTAGCCTAATTAACTCCCTACATATTCACAGAACTTTTGTTCAGATAGAGTCTGCTGTAAAACTGGTAATTGTTATTTAACATTTTCATCTTCTTATGTTCCGTTAAAAATCCAAAAGTAACAACCCGATTTTCGGGACATCACACCGTGGTTAGAATTATTGTGGATGATGATCATATTTTTAGGTGGTAGTGTCTTGTATTGTATACATGCTAGCGAAGCAGGCATATTATTGGACCCGTATCTGCTGGTTTATTGGGACAAAGCCTTTAAAGAAGCTCACCATCTTATCCTTTGATTTTTGTCACCATATCTTTCTGATTAATTCCTGTTTTGCAATTTATTTCTTGCTGCACCAACTCTTAAAACCGTTCAACTTTGCACACACAATCATACAGGAAAAAAGACGAGAAGAAAAAAGAAAACGAAAAAGAACGCCGGAAAAGGCGCAACCTTATAATACGGTTTGGTTCGGTTCGGTTTAGGATTTCCAATCCTACTCGAGTTGGTTGGATTTAGGCCGTAGACTTAGGTGGAATAAAATTGGAGAAAATTTCTTGCGGTTGAAGAGATGAAATTTTGAAAGAGTTGACGCCAAACTCTTAAGTGGCTTAAAAATTACGGTATAAAACCCGAATCAAACGTAACAACCGTTATAAACAACGCTTTCCGCCTTGATTCATAATATTTGTACGTTGAAAGAGATTTCTGCACGGTTCGTTTTCTCCTCTGCAGATTCCAACTTTTTCAAGACTTTTGAAGTATTGTGAAAGAGGATGCGGTCCATTCACCGCACTATAATAAAGCTTTGCACTTATTCTGTGATTTTTAGTTGCCCACTTTTGGAGCTCTCATTTATGATTTTAAGCAAATACCTAATTACCGTGGCTATTCAATTTTAAAATTGCAGACAAAATCAAACAAATTCCAACCAATATTTAATTTGATGCCGTTACCGCCTAATAAATATTTGTGTTAAAAAAGTATCCATCTATTTATTTAGTAGATGATTGACACGCAGTAAATTAGTGACATGAGAGAATCTCTCGTCTGTTTAAGAATATAACACGTGCTAATAATGCATTTTATCATCTCGTTTTTTATCCTCTGAGAGAGTACAACACTTGAACAGTTGCTAACTCCCTTTGGAAATGGTTGTATTCTGCCATTAATATCTAACCACTATTGGTAACCACTTAAACCCATCACCTACTTCAACATTATCTCAGAAAACTCAAGCCTCAAGGTGGAAGGTGCCATAACCAGAATTGAAAGCAAGCTACTCTTCGGTTGTGCAATGAAGTGGTGCTGATTTTTTGGCCCCAAATGTTGTCGTTCAGGTCCAAGAAATCGAAGAAGAGGACGATAATTGTCGGTCTGAAATCGGATAATTCAAGCAGAGAAATGCTTCTGAGATTGCTCATTGCTGTTGTAAAACACAGGGACAGTGTGATTGCTGTTCATGTTCAAGAGAACGATGATTCTTTTGATCCCAACACTTTCCACATCCATGAAGATTTCTGCAAATCCAAGCAGGTGAACTCCTTTTACTTGGGAGCTTATGGCATTGGCTTTTGGCTTTTGGCTTATGGCTTTTTCTTTGCAGGTGGATTTCCAACTAAAAGTGTGCATTGCAGATTCTTACATTTCTGAATTAACCTACCAAGTCAGGATCGGCTTTGCATCAATCCTTGTACTTGGTTGCAGCCTCTCAGGGTAATGAAACTAATAACTCCGATCTCTCTCTCTAGCGATATTGTAAACTAATCTAAATTACGAGGAGGGGGACTTGAATGAGGGTGTGGAGGGGAACTTGTCGTATCCCTGCGCCCACCCCCTCTCTACCCTGATGCAATATTCTAATCTAATCTAAATTATGAGAGATTAAAACGGTATTCTAAATTAATCTAAATTAATCTGAATTACAAGGAGGGGTTTGGAACTAAGTTGCGGGGGTAAACTGCTCTAGCCAACTTAGTTACGCATGAGAGTTCTCTCTCTCTCTCTCTCTCTCTCTCTCTCTCTCTCTCTCATGGATGTTAAATTGCAATGCAGGCCAAGTTTTTCAGCTATCCATACTTGCTTGAAAGGGTTACCTCCAACATGCACACTACTGGTGATGAATACCGTGGGAAGAGTCCTAATGGAGGGGCAGGGGACTTGCCAACAAGGCTCTGTAAGGGCAGCAGCCCTACAATCTTCTCACTCATTTTCCTCAACCTACACTTGCCATGACCAATCAAATACCACCCGCCAGTTGCAAAAGTCCTTAACAACTCCGCCTTCCTCTACAGTGTCGTTGATGCGGCCAACGACTACTAGAAGAGCACTCTCTGCCTTAAATAAAATGGTGGAGGTCGCTGATTTGGCGTCCGAAAAACTGTTTCAAAGATTGGAAGTACTAGAAGCAGAAGGTTCAAGCAGGCATTTCACGCCGAAAGAGCTTCATGATGCAACTAACAATTTCAGCCCAGCCACAGTGATTGGAGAGGGTGGACATAGCAAGGTGTACTGCGCCAAACTTGGAAATGGTGAAGCTGCAGCTGTGAAAGTCCTCCAAACCACACGGTGCTCAACAGCGGATTTTTTTCGAGAAGTAGATTTGTTATCTGGTATGAAGCATGACAACATCGTGCAGATAATCGGGTTCTGTCGTAGTGGGGAGATGCAAGCAATTGTGTATAAACTTTTGATGGGAAGCTTGAGGCAGAATTTAAGAGAGCTAAAGTGGAGTGAGAGGATGAAAGTTGCAATCGGCATGGCAAAGGCGTTGGACTACCTTCATGATTCTCACAGTCCTCCCATCATCCATAGGGATGTGAAGTCATCTAACATTCTCCTCTCCCACAATTGCGAACCGATAGTAAGTTCGATAACAATTTCTTATACTTGCAGAAAGCTAAAACTCAATTAGGTTCAATTCCTAGAACTTTCCGAGCAAGGGCTTTATCTCAATAGGTCTACATTTGTCTCTGATCACTTTGGCTTTTGATGCCAGTTATCAGATTTTGGAGCAGCAATGTTACTTCAAACTCATCAATCTCAAGCAAACACAAAGGCGCCGTTCCATGTTGTTGGGACGTTTGGATACTTAGCCCCGGAGTACATGATGTATGGAAAGGTTGATGAAAAGATAGATGTGTACTCATATGGAGTTGTGCTCCTAGAACTTATCACGGGGAAAGAAGCGATTCAAACTCACCAGGAGATTCGCGAAAGCTTAGTATTATGGGTAAGCGAAGAAATCAATAAGCTATAAAACTGATTCTGAAAAATTGTATTTTCCTTTGAATTTGTGTGCACTTGCAGGCAAGGTCCTTGCTGAGCTGTGGCATATGCGAACGTCTGATCGATCCTCACTTGATCGAACACTACAACAAGGAAGAGATGGAAATAATGATGATAGCGGCACGCCTCTGCCTTATGCACTCATCTTCTAGAAGGCCAACCATGAAAACGGTAATCCTTGTTTTCTTCTTTTTCATACAGAAAAAGAACACAAACCGAAATCTGCTACACAATAATTACACCGAGAAGGTAACTTCTGTATCAAGTTATCAACACGGCGAATGACAAACTGCAAAATGTTTACTATTCCGCAGGCCACTTTAATAAACTATTTTAAGACTCTGTTGCAAATGTATCTTGAAACGTTGTGTCAAACTGTTCGGGCTAACATGGCTCCAATTATTGTTTCTGTTTGCAGATACTGAAGTTACTTGAGAAGCCAGATAGCTGGTTAAGGATGCAGAGAGAAAGAGACGAGTTTCTAAACGTAACTGAAAGAGGCAAAACAGCTCTATCTTGACAACCGATCACGTTGATATAACCGTGCAGTCAGCAGCTCGAGGGGATTGCATCCTGCTATTAAAAATCCGTGTACACGAAATATATATCAAAATTTTATTTTATTTTATGCAGGATGACCAACAAGAAAATTGATTCCAAATGGATTTTCCTGCTGGTCACCTAGTATCAAAAACAATAATTGGCTATTATTTGAAACAATAACTTGGATGTGCATCCAGGGATTTTCACAAGCTTCTGCAAAATAAAGCTTCTTAGATTTATGTTATCACTTAAGCTTTTTGTAAATTGAGATCCGTTCACATAACTTATCAATCATTGCAATTGTTTTCGTCTAATACAAAACAAAATTTGAAAAATTGGTGAAAATAATTTGCTTCTGGGGATACAATTGATCACTTCAAAATGGTTACTCCATTAAGCCATGGCCAACTGAGCGAAATTTATCGGGGTTACGAATTGTGGTCCACCATTGAAAAGGGTAACAGCTGCTAACTTAGAAGCAGCCTGTGTTGGATGAAATAGATCCCAGAACAAGTAGTTGTCACGATTCAAACAAAGAGTGGCATTTGGCCTGCAGAAGGATTCACCGTTGAGCTTCCCAGCTCCGCAACACGCAGCTTCCACTTGTGTAAAATCTGAAAAAAATGAAAAGGAGATTTGTTGGTTATTAGATTGTTCCTTTTCCTTCACCATTCTAGCTGCTGAGAGCATATGAATATGTACCGAAATAAGAAGGGAAGTGATTTCCCTGCATAGCTTTGTTTATTTATAACCTTTGGATTTAATAAATCAACGGAGAATCAAGGGATATAAAGATACAAGGGTGTGCGGAAGTCTTTTTCCAATAACAACTGTCGAGTATTGACTTACTGAACGGAAGAGGGTTCCGAATGACATTTATTGTCATCTCAAATGCATTGCCAAGTGCATACTTGACGTCCTTGTATTCTGAGCTCAGCTTGGACATTAGGGCATCCAACCTTGAGTGGAAAGTTACAGCAAGATCATTTAAATCTTCCAAACACCCGCCAGAGGCGTTGTGAACCCTTTGAGATGGACAGCATCCGATTGGGGCAATGCTAATGATGCCAAACTTCCTCGCTCCAAGATCGATTAAGCCCTGCCATTTCAACACAGGGATCAGTTGAGCTACTAAAACTTGTGCATTTGATACAAGTGCTAAAGATAGAGAAAAGTATTACCTTCAAGTGGTTTTCATAAGCAAGTAATAAAGAAGATAAGAATTCTTCCTTTGGTATGGAACTGTTTGAGTGGTAATATCCGAAAAGGTCATTGCTACCAACGCTGATGAAGAACAAGGACCTCTCAGTTACTCTCCTCCCCCCTTTTATGGCGGTAAGATTGCTCTTGACAATGGAAAATTGTTGTATCTGCTCTGCTAATGGGACAACATTTTTCTGACTGACGGATGAGGCATCAAACTGAGTTTTCTTTGGCATTCCATACTTCATAAGAGCCAGCTGAAACAAGAAAATTGAGAGATCTGTTACAAAAAAGTATCTTCCTCTCATATCAGGCTTATGATGATAACAACTTTTTGCAAGATAATAAGGCGCGTACCACTGATTTTTTTCCAGTTATGTCAAATAGGCCTGACCCTCCAGAAGCAAAGTTAACACCACCAAATGTCTTGTTGGAAAGATACGTAGCGTTGAGAGAGAAAAATGGCGGCGGACTTCTCTTGAGACCGAATGTCATAGCTATGGATGATCACCACAATAACAGAAATAGGTTAAGTTAATCTTTGTGATCGATACACTGCTTAGGGTTTAGGGTTTAGGATCTGTTTCGTTATTGACATGTCATCCATATATAATGATAAAGAAACGGACTTCCTGTCCAGAGAAAAACTTTATATATACTTACACAGAAAATCAGCACTGTTGAGGCCATTGCTGAACCTTCCAGTGGGTTCTGAGGAAGGAAAGTCAATGCCATTGTGGGGAAAGTCAGCCCTAGCCATGCTGGTGGGCAGGAAATTGTTTGTTCCAACATCAGCAGTTGAGTCACCAAATATGAAGATTAGTGGCGCACCTGGGTCTGCTGGACTAACAAAACCTATGGCCACACATAGAACTAGAGAAACAACAGCCCATGATATGTTTTCCATGGGAGATTAAGATCTAATGTGAAAAGGTTAGGTCGGAATCTGTGAATTTCCTTGACGACCCAGGGAAGCGCAGGCCAGGTCGGTGCTAGACCAACAAAGGAGAACAAGTTTTATGTTGTTTTTTCAAGTAAGAGCTACGTAATGGGGAATTTATATTGCATGGAATGGTTTAGAATTGTAGTCCTGGAGCGTGCACTTACAAATACAAGAGGTTAATTGAGGGGGGATTTTGCATAGTGATTACCTATATATGGCCGGTTTGATCGTTGACGAAGTTCTTCCTTTGTCAAGTATAATGATGATGAACTTACAAACACAAGAGGTTAACTAAAGGCGGATTTGGCACTTTCCTCACTAGCTAACTTTGCTTACGTAGTAATAGCTACTGATTCATTGCGTTCAAACACAAATACTCGCAGTGGCATCTTTAATAGACGTGAGACTCATGTAGAACTGATTAAACTTGCTGCCGCCTTTCCAACTCTTTCGTACATTCGTTTCGAGTTTTATACAAAATTTGGTTGTTTATGGGAGTATACTTTGTCAACACATTCTCTAACACAAACAAGGAGCTTAGTGGCCTGTTCATTTGTCCTCATTGGGCTAATTAAATACACCAATTTGCAATTAAACTTCTTCTTCTTCTTTTTCTTTCTAAAATAAGATAGTTGTACAATGTGTTTGTTCCCTTGGCTTCTCATACGCAAAGCACAAATCGATTATGAGCCAAAGTAACTGACTGCATTTTGTTGCTAAACTGTATAAATGTCACAATAATAATGTGACAATAGAAAATTTTATGCTCAATAATTCCACTTTTGAATTTGATACGTATGAATCTACTTGCACACAAAAAAAAAAAAAAGAAAAAAAAAAATCGAAGTTTCCATTACCAGTGATTTACCTTAACTTTCAATCCAAGTTGTCTGATTTTGAAGCAGCAATGATGCTTCAGCAATCTCTGCAAACACAAAAGACACCATCCGATGTTGTTGGGACGTATAGATAATTAGCCTGGAGTACACGTGGTATGGCAACTGGTAAGGTTGATGGAAAGATGGATATCTACTCCTATGGAGTAGTGCTCCTATAACTTGTCACTGGGAAAGAGGCGATTCAATCTCACCAGGAGATCCGCAAAATATGGATGAAAACTGCACGCCTCTGCCTATGCATTCATCGTATAGCTAGAAGGCCAACTACGAAAACACTGACCCTTGTTTTCTACTCCTTCATGCAGGAAAAAAAGAAGAAGAAGAAAACACCTAATCTGGTATTCAATACTTTAATTATGAGAAGATAACTTGTGTACCAAGTTATAAACACGATGCGTGAGAAACTCAAAACATTTTTAGTTTGCAGGCAACTTTCAGATTTTAGGTTAAGAATTTGTTTCATTGATAGTTGTATACAAGTTTTCCAATGTTTCTTGAAGCTTTTTTGTGCCCAATTAATTGTTCTAATCACCTGGCATGACTCACTCAATGAAGCCACATATAAAATATTTTAATGTTTATTTTCACTTCTTGTATACAAGAAATTGTATTCTTAATTAGAAATTCATTGATCATGTCATATGATTCCTGCAAATAAAAACATGTTCATTACAGATTGGAGTTTGCAGAAGCAGAAAATTTAAAAATCTGCTTACGTAACTTGTCAATTCAATTCCAATTGTTTTCTTCTCATGGATACAGTTATCACTTCAAAATGGTTACTCTGTACCATTAAGCCATGGCCAACTGAGCAAAATTTATTGGGGTTACGAATTGTGGTCCACCATTGAAGAGGGTCACAGCTGCTAACTTAGAAGCAGCCTGTGTTGGATGATATAGATCCCAGAACAAGTAATTGTCGCGATTCAAACAAAGATTGGCATATGGACTGCAGAAGGATTCACCGTTGCGCTTCCCAGCTCCGCAACATGCAGCTTCCACTTGTGTAAAATCTGAAAAATAAAGAGGAATTTGATGGTAATTAGATTGTGCGTTTTCCTTCAACTCCTAGCTGCAGGGTCTCGTTTGCTAACAGTTTGGAAGTTGGTTGGTAATAACTATTTTTAGAAGGTACAAAATGAAAACAGAAAACGAAATAGTTATTAAACGGGCCTTAAGAAAATGTACAAAATGAGAAATTACTGAACTGACAGAGTATTGACTTACTAAATGGAAGAGGATTCTGAATGACATTTATTGTCATCTCAAATGCATTCCCAAGTGCATACTTGATGTCCTTACATTCTGAGCTCAGCTTGAACATTAAGGCATCCAACCTTCCATGGAAAGCTACTGCAAGATCGTTCAAATCCTCCAAACATCCGCTGGCAGTGTTGTGAATCCTTTGAGACGGGCAGCATCCAATCGGGGCAACGCTAATGATGCCAAACTTCCTCGCTCCAAGATCAATTAAATTCTGCAATTTCAATACAGGGCTCAGCTAAACTACGAAACTTGTGCATAAGGGGCTTAGGGTAGTGCTAAACATAGAGAAAAGTATCACCTTCAAGTGGTTTTCATAAGCAAGTAATAAACAAGTTAAGAATTCTTCCTTTGGAATGGAACTGTTTGAGTGGTAATATTCGAAAAGGTCATTGCTACCAATGCTGATGAAGAACAAAGACTTCTTAGTCACTTTCCTCCTCCCTTTTATGGCGGTAAGATTTCTCTTGACGGTAGCAAATTGTTGTATCTGCTCTGTTAATGACACAACATTTTTTTGATTGATGGATGGGGCAGCAAGCGGAGTTTTCTCTGGTCTTCCAAACTTCATTAGACTCAGCTGAAACAAGAAAATGAGAAAACTGTAAAAAAATGTTTCTTTTCCAACATCTCATGCTTATGAAGATAACAATTTTCTGAATAATGCACCGATGTTTTTCCAGTTATGTCAAGAAGGCCTGACCCTCCAGAAGCAAAGTTAACTCCACTAAACCTCTTCTTGCGAAGAGATTTAGCTTTGAGAGAAAGAAAAGGTGGCGGACTTCTCCTGAGACCGAGTATCTGAGCTATGATCACCACAAGAAAAGCAATGGGTTAAGTTAAGCTTTATAATCCATGCAGGGTTTAGAGTTCATTTTATTATTGACATATCATTCGATAAAGATAAAGACATAGACGTTCTGTCTAGAGAATAACTGTATATACTAACCGAGAAAATCAGCACTATTGAGGCCATTGCTGAACCTTCCAGTGGGTTTTGAGGAAGGAAAGTCAATGCCATTGTGTGGAAAGTTAGCCCTAGCCGTGCTGGTGGGCAAGAAGTTATTGGTTCCAACGTCCCGTTGAGTCACCTTGTACGAAGATTAGTGGCGTACCTGGGTCTGATGAACTAACAACAGCTACAGCCACACAGAGGACCAGAGAAACAACAACCCATGATTTGTTTGCCATGAGAGATTTAGATATAACTAAAAGAAATAATTAAGTTAATCAAACAGGGTGTACCCAAAAAATTTAATGTTAGTGAAAGCTTCACTTTCCCTTTCCAATCAATTAAGATCGAAAGGGGAATTTATATGCATGGAAATGCTTTAGAATATGCATGCAAATGCTTTGGAGTTGTCATACTGTGTTTACCTATGGCCGGTTTGAGCATTGGCCAAATATTTAATTGCTTCGTTAAGTATTTAATAATCATGAACTTAATGTTAAATATAATGATAAGAACTATGGTGCACTACACTTCTCTCACGTGTTCGATTTTGTTTAAGTAGTAATAGTTACTAACTCAACGCTTTGAGACACAATCATATGCAACATATCTTTAATAAAAGCGAGACCCATATTATAAAATAGATTAGGGTTTAGGGTTTTACAAGTTAATGTTTAATTACTGATCACTTTGTAAACGCATAGTACTAAACGAATTTGGTTGTTTTATTAGTGATTACTTTGTAAACACATGATACTTAAGTCCATAGTTGTCTGACACAATCAAGGAGGACAGTGGCCTGTTTATTTGTCCTCACCAATTTGCAATCAAATTTCTTTATTTTTCTTCTTTAATAATGATAAATAAACTACAATATGTTTGTTCCACTTGGCTTTTAATACATGAAGCACAGATTAATTACATGCCAAAGAATTAACTGAAAGCTTCATTTTTATTGCCAAAGTATAAATGTTACAATTTCTGTAGCAAAAGAATGTGATTAATTTATATAATTGTAATGGTTAATCAATTTTGTGTATAATCATCCTCAGCAGCTTGTTGATTAAGGTCTGGTTGTTCTGCCAGCAGCCCTACCACAAAGAAGGGCATTTCTGGGAATTGGGTACTCATCCCTAGTTGACTCCACAGGCGAGTAAACTCGTAGATAAAATTGTTGTCCAAGGTATTGCCTCGCCCAAAACTCACTCCTCACATTCCACATACCAACATTGTCCAAAGCAATGTATATTGCAGTCCATGACTTTGGATACACCTGTCACATAATCAAAACCAAAACTTTAATCACGTGTAACACAAATTATTGTATGTGCCGGTTATATATAATATATGCTTCAAAATACAAATGAAGATTATATTGTTATATGATAGGGTTATGTTCATGCTCTACTTCCTACCTTGATTATACCACATTTAAATATGTGAAGAGTATAGCCGGAATTTAATACGATTCACTCTTATTGTTCACCCTTCTCACTTTTTGTATATCGCTGAACCAATTTTTAGCATCATTAGGGCAACTAACCTGTGTGGTACTTCTTGAAACTGCATCTCTAAGGTTGTATTCGTTCCGACTAGCTGGTGTCCATTTACCTCCATCCATTCTGAAATTCAAGTAAAAAAAAATGTGAGAATTACAAATCAAATTTACCATCTTTAAACTCATTGAATTATGCAGATATATTATTATTATTATTATTATTATTATTACTGTTTACTTACCCAACAACCCAGAAGGAGTAACCATCCAAGTGAAAACTTTGCACAATGTTTTCCTTGTTTTCAAACACAATCTCAACAAAAGCCCTAAAATCAGCACCCATGACTGAAGT